GGTGTATAGATAATGGATGGATGGATGTTTCTGATCTCTGCTGATATGTTGATTTCTGATCTTCTAAATGTAATCTCACCATGTATTATGAGTAATGTTGTCTGTGTGGATGCTGCTGTGACCTCGTCTGTCTGTGACTGTGCTGCTGCCTGTCTTGGCCAGGACACTCTTGAAAAAGAGATTTTCAATCTCAATGAGCCTTTTGCTGGTTAAATAAAGGTTTTTTGAAAAAAAGGATCTTATGAGTGACATTGAAAAGGGGTTCACTGTTGGGGCACAGATGGCAGGAGCTTGGTTGTTGGTGTTTCAACAGGAGCAGCAACTTCTGCTTTCAGATCTATGAGAAAGTTCATCAGGTAAACACTGGTTGAAAATTGTGGGCGACACATTTGCTGATGGCTGATGCTCGTGCATTCGTAAGAAAACGTGACTCTTCGTCAGGTGACTGCAAATGTCAATGTGTGTAATCAAACTGTCAGTAGGAACAATATATCAACAAGTGAAGAGTTCATTTGCAAAAACAGAAACCTCCATCTTCACAAACCTTCAGAAAACCCACTTTTCCATCGTCTACCTGAGACAACATCAATCAAACTTAAGTTATCTCTATTTTTGTCATTTCTACTGAGTCAGATCCACTCAGCTTCAGTCTGATTGATATCATCTCAAGCAAACAACAAAAAATAAGTTTGGTGAAAATCTACAAAAATGGAGTTATCTGTTATCGTAAACTTGCACACAGAGGGATGTTACAGAACGGCCCTCAAAGGCAAAACTTATGAAAACAACGCCCCGAAAAGTCCTCAAGTCCAACGTGGTTCCGTCTGTTTTCTCTGGAGGGCAGCTCAGCACGTCTGTGGCAGCAGGTGACAGGAGCCGAGCACAGGTAAATAAATCACCTGTTCAGCTGTTTCCATGCAATGTGGCAGAGTGTTGTGTAACAGTAGCTTTGGAAAGAGGTCTTTTTCTGAAAAAAATAAGCTGTCAATGACATGGAAAGTTGAAATTGTAGAAGTTATGATGGGAGAAAACTGACAGAAAACTATTATTCGTCCCTGTTGCTAGTAATGGGAAAATCCTACAACGACCACAATGCATTGCGCAGGGGGTTGTCCTAAGGGAGCGCACGCGGCAAGTTTATTTTGATGTCAACACAGACCAGAGACTGACGGATGACGATTTCCAACTTCTCGTGGGGTTCAGGCTGCAAAGCATTAAGGCTGTTTTAGGAGACATTCGTTTTATTTCGTCGCCGGAGTCGTTTCTACTCAGTATAATGTCTCAGCGCCGCGTTTGGCACTACAGGTGCTCTGTTGTCGACTGCAAAAGCGAACGAAAGAGTCTACATACGCTGCCGGCATCCGAGGACCTGAAGAGTCGGTGGATTACTTTTATTTTTGACGGCAATGTTCCCTCAACAGTCGGGAAATTCCTGTATGTATGTGCCAACCATTTCACGTCCGACTGCTTTCTCAATAAGGGTCAGTACCAGGCTGGATTCGCCTCAAAGCTGAAGCTCAAAGATGGATCAGTACCGACTGTTCGTGACCCAGGTTCACATTTGGAAACCGTAAGTTTTACACTTAGTGTCTTGTTATATTTTACAATTTAGCCTGTTGGAGTCGCTAAGTGTTAGCACGTATAGCGGCTAATGTGGCTAATGTTATCGTTAGCTTTGGTCGTTTTTGTCCACACGTCAGAGCTCTGTCGACATTACAATGCTGGGGGACAATTAGAAAATGTGGAAACTATAAAGTAAAGATGCATTTCGATTCGGTTTTGTGTTTTTGTTACCTCGGGGGTGTAAAGTAAAAGCCATGAGAAAATATACTCCTCCGGTCCCAAAACAAACATGGCCGCCCCGCTCTACCAGCCAATCAGGTTTAAGCTCCGCTCCTCACGTGTCCCGCTTCTTCCGGGTTGAGCTGTTGGACTCGTGCTCAGCTGAGGGTGTGTAGACATGTCAAGGAAAACCAGCCAAGTCAAGTGTATTATTCCTGGCTGCAGTGCATCAAAGACATCACTGCACAGCCTTCCCAGAGAGAAACACGTTTCAGACAAGTGGATGGATTTTATTTTTGGAGACTTGCCTCGGCCCATTGCTAGTAAGTCTATTTTGGTGTGTTCAGCGCATTTTGCACCAGAGTGTATAGTAAATCGGGGGCTATACCATGCTGGCATAATATCCAGGATGATATTGGAGAAAGGATCAATTCCAACTATCTGGGACCCGTCCTCAAGCATTAAAACTGTGAGTAGATTCGTTTTAATAGCTACGACCTGTGTTAATTTATGTGTTCTTAGCCAATCAGAGGTTGTCCTGATGTAGTGGGCAGTTACTTTACCGAGCTGCAAAATCAGACCCTGTGGGGCAGCTGCACAAAGATGCACCTTTAGAAGTTGAGGTAAATATAAGGTCCCACATTTTGAAAATACATACTGTGTGTTTAACAGGTTTGTTTACTTTCTATTGCTGCCTTTGCTAACTAAAATGTCACACCCCAAATGTAGATAACAGACTGTTAAGTGTAAGGCCTATTGAAAACATGACCAAAAACGCCTCCATACATTATGCTGGAACATGGCACAGTAACTGGCAACCCCTGCGATCATATTAAATCAGGGGTGTCCAATCCTGGTCCTCGAGGGCCACAGTCCTGCATGTTTTAGATGTTTCCCTCTTCCAACACACCTGATTCAAATGATCAACTCATCATCAAGCTCTGCAGAAGCCTGATAGCGATCCTGATCATTTGAATCAGGTGTGTTGGAAGAGGGAAACATCTAAAACATGCAGTATTGTGGCCCTCGAGGACCAGGATTGGACACCCCTGTATTAAATCATCATATACAAATAAATAGGCAGGTAACATGAAGTTAAGTCGAAGGACAAACTGTGAGCCTTTATTTAAAGCAGCACTATATGTGTTACTAGATGCTTTCCACACAAAAGTAGATGTTTCCCTGAGCTCCGGTTCCTGCCATCCTATTTATGTGACACGCTTCGCGACATTTAGATGTGATAATGACAAGTTTAAGAGTACAAACCTGTTACATTTCCTGTATTTTTGGCCAACATCTTGGTTTGGATGTATGGTAATAACCGGATGACCCCAATCTTCAATGCCTAAAGGTCAGAGACCCGTGGACTTGATGGACATACAGAGATGTTAAAAACTTTATGACGTTAATAAGGACTTTGTGGGTTTCTGTCATAATGTTGCCTGTTGTGCTTGAGGTCAACATAAACTCGACGAGTGTTCACTTCTCTCCTCCTCGCAGTGCTTGCATTCACTGCATTTTAATACTGATAAATTCCCAACAAAGCTGTTCTCATTTGCATCATTGTCCATTTCTGTTGTCGGACAATGGAAAAGTTATGAAATGGTGACTGAGACACAGCCCATTAAGACTGCATGGTAACCAGCAGTCACTTCAGAGCGATGTCTAAGCTATCTCTGTGGTGTTTTGAGCTGAAGCTTGAAGGATGTGTTTTCTGTGAATGTGAGGCTTTCATTCATTTGTTAAAATGGGCTTTAGTATGAGACATTTTTGAGAGTCTTAGGATTCTTTAGATGCCTTCAGAACTATGATCAGTTTCATCAAATTACTTTGTGGGTTTTGTTTATTACTGTGAACAAACTAGCATTTAACTGACTGAAATATGAGGGAAGTACTCAAGAGGCACTTGGTTGAACAAAAGGTATTTTTATTGATGTGTTGTACAGAGTTAGTCGGGTCATGTTGACCTAAGCAGCCGCCATGTTTGTTTTCCAGTGTGAGATTGGGTGAAAACTATCAAGTGTGCACATATTTAAACTGTGTGTTTTTTGTCATTTTTGTTGTTTTCCATAAGTCAGCGGGTCCCAGTTCAGCAGCTCAAGCCTCTCCTGCAGTGTCTGCTGTGGACAGCGTGTTGCAATGGGCCAATACATTAACTTCAGTAAGTATGAAGTAGGAAAGCTAAGCTTTGTTTTTGCAGAATATGTGCAGTTAACTTGTATTAGGAGTTATTTGTACACACAGTCATGAAGACAAATTAGGACAATTGCCCTCTTTCCTGAATGAGGTGTTTCTTCGATGTAGCACTGCTGGTTTAACAGTCTGTTTTCACTCAAGGGTGTATGTACACAGACGTCTTCCTCAGGTGTCCAAAGCACTGGTGTGGACGCTGAATCACCTTCTCCCTCCCTGCCACTACCTGTAAGAATAGCACAAGCTATCGATTAACTATTTTCTGTCTAAAGAGTACTACATGCAGCCAAAGTAACTTGTCTTGCTGTTGTGAACGCTGTTTAGTAGGAACTAAATGTGAATTCTATATCTGCTGTGTCTTTATTCCAGATATCCTCAGGAACTACAAGTAATGCATCCCGGTCGGCTCCACCAGCTGAACTGAGTGAACATTTGTGCAGTGGAACATCTGTGGGTCTCCTGAGAGAGAGCCTCCACCAAGAGACTGACTTAAGCTCGACAGCAACATCAAAATCAGATGAGAACGAGGAAACTAACTCGACTCAGTCAAAGACTATTGTGAATGACAGCTGTTTGATGGAGCTGTTTAAGAAGTGTCAGACCTGTGGACATACCATAACCAAAAAGAAGGTGTCTCATTATGGTGCACAGACGAAGGTAACATGGAGCTGCCTCGGTGGACACAAGGGTGTTTGGATGTCGTCACCCTATCTATTAGAGGCGTTTCCTGAAATCCACCTTCTTACAGCTCTTTCCATTCTCTTTTCTGGAGGCACCTATACACACTTCAGACAATGGGCCAAACATCTTCACCTGAATTTCATGGGACATGAAACCTTTCTTGAAGTTCAAAAGGCACACATCAGCCCAGAAATGAAACGGACGAACAGAGCTGAGCAGGAAGCAATCTTGGCAAAGGACATCTACCGACAAGCTGAAGGCTCTCTGCGTCACATTTCAGGTGATGGTTGCTGTAATTCTTCTGTTTCAGTGTCAAGAATAACAGTCAGTTGATAAGTTGCTTTTTAAATTTTTTTAGGGTTGATGCAGACTGATGCTATGAATAATTAAAACCAATAACTACAACAGAACTTTTCAACATTTATCCTTCAGTGTTTAATAGTCGATTACTCCTGACTTGTAACCAATGAGGTAGTGCTGCAGGCAGGACAGAATAGGGCGTCTTTGCATTGATCTACAAAAACAAACAAAAAATAACAATATGCATAATCGGAAAAATACTATTTATCAGATCTGATAAACGATCAACCCCTGTGTCAGAACTCAGCGTTGTCCTGTTTGTGCATACACAAACATTTGCAGCTTCAAATACCGATACTCTGTCCACACAAAGGCAGAAATGCTGGCAAATGTGAGTGTGCATGTGGTCATAGTTTATAAAGTTTATAAAATCTCCTTCACTGTGAAATACACGAGCACCATTTGATCAGCTTCGATGCACCTTAAATCATTTTTATTTTACTATTTTCTTACGAACACTTCTATCTGAACCATAACTGTCTTATTGAAATGAACAGCAAAGACAAAACATAATTTTGCAAAGTGCTTATATATGACGTTACACATGGTGTGGCATCAAATATAGATCACAAAGGGCTTTATACTATAGACCCAGTGGAGAAACATCCAAATCTTTCAAATTCTCACCAGCACATCCTTTAGAATAACTAACACAGACCAACAGTAAAGTGTCGACGCTGCTCGTTACTGTTAAGTGACTGCAGGTGACTTCTGCTTGTTGTTTGACTCTCTCCTGCCTGAACCCAACCTTCAGCATTCATTCAGCGGACTGAGCAGGTTGAATTGGCGGCAGAGTTCCTGTCTGAATCGCTGTTTGACTTCGTGAATTATCCCTGTATTGCTTCGATATTTCAAAAATATGACATTTCACAATCTTAATTACTATTCAAGACCTTTTACTAGAACTGTTAAAACTGATTTATGTCGCTGCGTTAACTTGTTAGTTCTCGTTCTGCGATTGTTTTTGGATCAGAACGCGGATGAGTTACGTCCTCTCAGTGTTCATGCATGCTGATGGTCAGCTGGCGGCCATCTGTCGGGGGTTTATGTGCAACTTTTAGCATAAAATATGAAGAAATGCAAAATCTGCCTCGTTTGTGCCAGTGTTTAGAGAGTGACCTCCTGGTGTGTCGGGGCCCTCTGTAAGCATTTATCACTTCACTCTAGCAGACACTTGATATTATCGTGTTATAATGCCTCAGTATGGAAATGGCCGCTACATTAAGGAGCTAGAAAATGAAGTTGCCATATTCAGTGAGTGAATGCTGTTTGTTTTACTTTAAAGATGCTCTGAAGAAAATTAAGGCCGAGAGAAGAGAGAAGAGAGCTCTGTCATCATCATCATCACTGTCCAGGTGAGGCCTCATGCACAGTTTTTACATATCATAAATGGCAGCCAGTTCATAACTAAGCCTGCTAGCAAACTGTTCTATTAAGTCATCCGTGGACTGAGATGAAACATGGAAATTAAGAATAATAATGCTAATAATAATACTGAGAACCATTATTTAGATATAGATTTGCATTCTGGAATTTTGAATTAAATTGGCGTTTTAAAGCAGTGACATGTATTAGTGAAGTTTGAAATGAAAAGCAGTGTGATGTGAATTCAATAGACGAGCAGCTCAGTTTGGTTTTAAAGTTTTTATTTAAAATTTAAAATATTTATTGCATTAGCTTTTTACTTGCATCAGCTAACACAATGGAGAACAATGTCAGACCTATTACATGTATATCATGCTTGTTATATACATTTCTTTGTATTTTTTCACAGTTTTTCTACCGTGTGTCATCATGTGTTAGCTCAGAATAAAGTGAAAAGAAACAATAAAGGCATTTTGAAGTTTGCATTCCTTCTTTTGTTGTCATATTTTTGCATCCAATCTGTACTATATTCATTCACATTTAAATAGTTTTTGGAATGAGCAAAAAAATAGAAAAATATGATATAGTTTATTCTGTAGGTAGATGTTGGTTTAAAAAAAAGGGGGATTCAAGTCTTGGTTGTGATCCTGCTTCTATGACGGGTGTTTTCAGACAATATTTAGCAGTTACACTCGGAAACTTGGGTGTTTGCCGAACCGAGGGTGAGTTTGAAGGCTTAACATTTTCAAGGTGAGTGTTTGTGTCTAACAACAAGGTTTCTTTTCACAGTTCTGAAGAGAGATCTTCAGCGTTAAAGACAGCTGCTGAAACTAGTATACAAGAGTCTTTTGCATCATCAAGTCCTGGACCAGACCATGAAAGGTAAGTTGTCATAACGTAGCCTCATTTTTACGGCTGGTTTCCACCTGCATGCGTTATCTTTCCTTCCTGCCGGCACATTTCAGCTGATCATTGAGTGCCCTGATCAGGACAAACACTCAGATTTTTACCCAGAAGCAAATCTTTGATGTGCTTAGACTGCAAACTGAATAGATATGTTATCATTCAAACATTTATTCTATGAGCCCAGGACGACAGGATGCATGGCTGAGCGAGGAGTGGAAGACATCACATCAATAGAGAGTTAAAGCAGGAACATGGTGGCTCGCTGTGGTTAGGATGTGCTTGCTCTTTGAGTCTAATGAGACTCATCCATTAACTCTGACAAGTCTGACATTCACCTTACAAGACACGGTGGTGCTTTGCATTCTCTGATTTACTGAGACTCTGGCGTTTAGTAGCCATGTTTTTATTTCACTGCATGTGTGTCTGGCTACAAAATGAATGTCCATATTCTGTAAAAACTTTCAAGTTGTCAGAAAATTACTTATCAGTGTGTGTCTGCAGTGGCCAGCAGCATCAACATGAAGCTAAACATCAGAGCAACACTACACATCAGACGTCATCAGAGCTGGCCTGGATCCAGGACAGGTTAGTAAGTAAGGAGCATGTTTTCACACTACTAAATGTACAATTCAGTTGGTGTATATGTCTCTGAGTACTGTAGACACGATACTCTGAATTTAATGGGGGAAAAAAACCCAAACTTTTTCCGTTTGTTTAGCTGATGTCATTGCGCTGCATATGGCATAGATGTCCTAGACCAGGGGTGTCCAATCCTGGTCCTCGAGGGCCACAATCCTGCAAGTTTTAGGTGTTTCCCAGGATCGTTATCAGGCTTCTACAGAGCTTGATGATGAGCTCATCGATTGAATCAAGAGGGAAACATGTAAAACTTGAAGGATTGTGGCCCTCGAGGACCAGGATTGGACACCCCTGTCCTAGACTGATGTGAGGGGCTGTAAATCAGAGGGTGTCATAATTCATTAATCATGTGCTTCTACATCTACAAGAAGCACAACTATCACTATCCTCACTGTCATTTTCAGCAGTGAGGAGATGGAGGTCACCATTGCTGAGGATGAATACGACAGTGTGAAGAAAATAAAGTAATTTTATCTTATCCACCATTTATCATAAATAAATTTGGCTCCTTGGATTGCATCATCAGATATATTTTTTTATTCTAATAGATCAGAATCAACTGATCTGAGAGCTGCTGGACCCAATGACAGTGGTGATGAAGATGTCTACGTACCAATAATTCCTCAGAGGTACCTTTACGTCTTTGACTCTTGCGTACTTTTTGTTTACTTCAACAGAAACACTTCTGGAAGGCAGGTGGACTTTCACCTTGGCAAAAAGTGAATAGAGCATAAAGGCGGGCTTTGTTGCAGGCCTGTTGTGTTGAACTGGAATCGATTAATCCAGTTGTAGCTTTGTGTTTGGCAACTGGGCTCAGGTGGTAGAGCGGATTGTCCTCTAATCACAAGGTTGGCGGTTCGATCCTGCCCCGCCCCACAGTTGAAGTGTCCTTGGGCAAGACGCTGAACCTGAAGCTGCTCCCAATGGCAGGCAGGCGCCTTGCATGGCAGCTCTGTCGCCATTGGTGTATGAATGTGTGAATGAGAAAATATTGTAAAGTGCTTTGAGTACCACTAAGGTAGAAAAGTGCTATATAAGTGCATTTACCATTTAACTTTTTGTTCAGTGGATGACACTGAGTGGATCAGTGCTCAGATTTACAGAACACAAGTTGTAGAAAATGCCAATTCCTGTTGGAGAATATCGGAATTTAGAATTTTTAAAATGGTTCAAAAAAGGGAAGCAAATAAATTAATATTATATACTCTAGGTGGCAAAAGTACAGACATGTCTCCCTAGGATAAGGCACTGCCAAGACTGAAAATTGTAATTGCATCGTTTATTCAACTCACTCACTTATCAGTTAATGAATGCAGTCATTTATTTATTTATTTAGACACTTTAGCACACATGTTCACATCCTTGCCCCCTTTTTAAAAATGTATTCCTCCAGGACTAACTGAAGGACTAGTTCTGTGTTATTTGTAAAAAGTAATATCTAAAGATTTGTCTGATTTTTACCAGATGTGTCACAGATTGTCCCTTTTGTTTCAGGTCCACAGCGTCTGAGCTCTTACTGGAATGTGAGGAGGAGGAGCTGGAGCCGTGGCAAAAGCAAACGTCACTAATTAAAGTTAAAGTCGAAGATGATGTTGAAGATACAGGTACGTAACATGACATGCTGGTGTCGATCTTTTTTAAATAAACATGCGATTTCTGCACTGCACTGAAACACAAATGTCAGTTAAAACATTGTGTCACTGTATGTAGGTTCAGTTAAAATGACTGGCTGTTATTAGACAAAAGTATGATGTTTAGTCATCATACTGACATTGGATTGATATTTAACTACATAAAAGTAATTTAGTAGATAATTGAGCCAAGTTTCTAACATGTCTGTGTGAGCTGAGCTAAAATGCTCATTTGCAAAATGCCTCATTTCTGCTTTTGTTTACATTTTTATAGCTAATGACCAAACAGAGTGTAAACCGGAGCCTTCACTTCTTCAGGAAGATGCTGTAAATACGTCACCACCTGAGCTGAAAACAGAAACTCCACAGCCTGCTGTTTTCAACAACCAAGTAATTATGCTGGAGTTAATTATAATTTATGTGCAGTAAATGACTTGAATAAATGATGAAAAGTCATTGTAAGGGCCTTGTCGTGCAAAAGTAGCTTGATGTGTACATTTTGATGATCATCATGTCGGTTCATGGTGTGCGTTACAACCCAGCTTGTGAAAGGGAAGCAACAAAACCAGATGTAATTAGTTCTAAGTAACAATTATTTATTAACAGAGCTCACCAAAATCAACAAACCTGAGGGACAACAGGGCATAAAGGTGCTTGGTTAACTTAAAAAGACAAAAGATCTTATAGAAATAACTCAACTGACAAAACAAAAAGCAAAGTATAACCAATTTCAACAGAATAACAAAACTGTTCAAAAATCAAAGTACACAGAACAGCACCTTCCTAGATGGGAATAAACAATAACAGTCCTATCAACTAGCCCTGTTCCTCAACAGCTTTTTGATTAAGTGCCTTAACACACAAAATAAACTTTTCCCAAGAGAGCGAGGCACTGGTGCTCTGAGTACAGCCACCCACCTAACTGGGCCTCTCCAAACTAAACAGCGCCATCACCAGATGGAACGTCCCATTGGGTCCTGAGTGATCGGCTCGTCTCCGCCCATCTGCCCTGGCCCAATCGGCGACCGGCGACGGCACACTGTAATTTACATACAGAAGACAAAAGGGATCATTGCTTTAACTGTGGCACTGTGGTGTCTTGCCTTGAGCCCCATTAGAAGGAGAGGTGTGAGGGTGAGGTGCTGCCTATCCAGAGGTGTAAACAGTGCATTCTGTATAATGCACTGTTTACCAGTTACAGTTCAAGAGCTCAGTGCACTGGTGGTTACTGCATTGACTAATGTGATATCAAGCGAAACTGTTGCACACAAAACGTGAGTTCGGCTGAATTCCTCTGTAGCCGTTAGCACTGTATCTGAGCTGCTGTATTCATAAACTGAGTACATCCCAGAGAGCAACAAGTGCTCTTTGAGGAAAAGATTTTCACAGCCTATAACACACCTACCTCTAATATATGATAATGTATTCGTTCCAGTCCCACTCTGTGTGCAAGTGCACCACAGGGGTAACAGAAACCCAAAGGTGCACTTTGCACACTCATACGACTCAAGGCAGGGGGGCTTGGCTGTGATCTGTACCTCAGGGTTCACAAAAACAGAGCTGCAAAAGGTTGATTAATCAGAATATATTAATGGAAGTTAAAGTATGAACTCTGTGTCTTTATTTTTCAGGCCTTCATGGTGGCTTCTCCTCAGTTAACAAGCAGCACTGACTTCATCGGCTCTCTCAGGACGCACTGCCTTGCTGGGACTCCGTTTGCAATAGTTCCAGGTAAAAATGACGAAAGCGCTGCAGAGACTTGTTTCATGTACGCTCAGGTTTTAAATCCATAAGTGATGATTCATATGTTGTTTTTACATTTATGTTGAGTTTGTGTTTGTTGTTTTCAGCGGTTCAGCAGCAACTCTTCCACAAGGTGTCTGCAGCCACAGTAACGCCTGGACCTGATGGTGCTGTTCACACTTCTGAGGTGCATCAAATCAGCAACAACCCCGTGTCCTCGTCCAGCGTCCTGAGTCCTGCAGCATCATCTAGCCGACAGCAGGCCGACCAGCCCGAGTCACAGACGCTTTCTGTTCCCTTTTCTCTGCCTCGTTTTACTGTACTTGAACTTCCATAAGTTGGCACATCAAGTAACAATGAATGATAAATTTAGGTGTAATGAGAACAGTGAGTTCATAAGCTGTCTCATTTAAATGTGTTATTACATTTGCACAAATTAATGATCTGCAGACTATTTGCACATTGATGCGTGTGTGCAGGTGTAACCCTGAGAACCCTGCAGCACAGAACCTGTTACCTCTTTTTCTATGTCCAAATAAAGATAAATTCCTTTAACGTAAGAAGCTTGTCAAATCCATCTATCCATCCATCCATCATCTATACACCGCTTAATCCTCACTAGAGTCGTGGGGGGCTGGAGTCTATCCCAGCTGACTCAGGGTGAAGGCAGGTTCACCTGGACAGGTAACCAGTCTATCACAGGGCTACACTTAGAGACAGACAACCAAGCACACTCACATTCACACCTACGGACAATTTAGAATCACCGATTAACCTCAACATGTGTTTGGACTGTGGGAGGAAGCTGGAGAACCCGGAGAGAACCCATGCTGCACGGGAAGAACATGGAGACTCCACGCAGAAAGATCCTCACCAGGACGTGAACCGGCGACCTTCTTGCTGCGAGGCAACAATGCAAACCACCGATCCACCTTGCAACCCTTGTCAAATACATTCCACCTTTAAAAAAAAAAGTAAAAAATTAAAGATTTTTTGTATTTAATATAATAAACTCATGTTAAAACCTGTTTTCAAGTGCTCTGTCACATAAAACTTCATAAAACTATCAGTCATGCCGTCCATGGCAATCTCCTGCCCTCATGTAACCTGGTGCATTTTATCAACCAGTAACAACAACGAGGACACTCGTCTGAATAGGAGCCAGCTTAAGTCTGCATGTGTGGCTATTGTACAGTTACTGTATTTAGATTGGCGAAGTATCATCAACCTGATTGCTAACAAGTACTCCTGTGTGTGACTGCCACGTGTGTGTTATTTCAAAAAGCACTTCCTGCTTTCAGGGCAATGAGAGCAGTGCTTACATCTAGTGGTGTCTGGCCTTGCAGGTAGTTTTAGTTCAATTTGTTCAGATTCCAGAAAGTGTCCCCGTGCGTTGGACATGTGTAAAGTGCTTTTAATTGTTAGCATTGCATGTCTGATTATACTTCAGATCTGTAAAAGTTGAGCGAGAATCCAACAAATTGACTAAACATGTTTCTGCAACTCCAATATTTTTTTTAAAAGTAGGCAACACCGCACTCAAACCCTGCAACAACCCCCGAAAAAGAAATATTTGTGTCGTCACCATGGAGAGTGGGGTCATAGACCTAAAATCACATCAGTACTGAGCCACATCTGCATAGAGTTAATGATGTTCTCGTGCAGAATGGAATGTCGTCCCAGTTTTCCTGAAGGACTTGATGAAGTTAGCAGACTTTTTTGGGGACAGGATCATCTTGTCCGACACAGAATCTTGCGTATCGTGTGGCAGATTGTCGCACCATGCTGCCTGAAATGATTTCATAGATGACAAATGGTGGAGTCGTGGACGTTCAAGCGTCTGGCCACATCCCTCATGCCAGCAGCCTCTCCTCAGCTTTCTCCTGCCATCTGTGGCGTCGTGTCATTTGGAAAAACGTTGCATTTGAGGGTGACCTTTCATGGTCACAGGTCAAAGGAGTGTCTGTGCACTGATCACGCTTTCTGATCATTGTCCTTTAAAGACACAGCTAAGTACGATATCTGTTAACTCAGCGATCAGGTCTTTGTGCCCAATTGGCTAAATTACAACTATTTTTGACCAAAACAATAGAAGTTAGGTTTTTGATCTTCTTCTCAAAGTCAGAAAAGACCATTTGCATGCTACATTTGATTTTTTTTTCAGTGTATATATACACACATATTTAATTGTTTATTTGGAATCACATGTGTAATACATCACATACAATCTTCTTAATCACAGATAATTATATTCCCACGGTGACCCATTTTTATTTTTATTTTTCACAACACATTTTATACAATTACATGAAGCAAATACAACATGAATATAGAGTGTTTTCATTAAAATAAAAGAATAAAAAACCTCAATATAAAGACAATCAGGTGAATGAAATAAATCTTAAACAAAAGAGGGGCGTCTCAGGGAAATATACCTTTTCCAGTCTTTTCAAATAGCTTCAAATTTGGATTGTTGCAGTCACAGAGAAAAAGTTATTCTCTCCATTACAAATATTTCATAAATTATGTCGCTCTATTGATGGGGCATCTGGCTTAAGCCAATTCTTGGTGATAGCTTTCTTAGCAGCCACACTTAGTCCACCAAGCAGACATCTTGCTTTGACACCCATAGCTATAGAGTGTGTAAGCCCAAAAAGAAGTTTGTCCCGGTTAAATGTGATATCCAACCCAAATAAATATATTTATATTGCAGACACACCCTCAGTCATTCTGGATTCTAGTGTCATTTTTTTTTCTTCTGTCCTTATTTGGTGAATGCTATTCTCAGATTTGTTGCCTTTGCTTAGTGTCTGATTCAAATTGTTTCATTAGGAAATAATCAATTAAGTCTTGCATGAGACGCGTGGTCTTTAATCCTCAGTGGAAACCGCATTAAACTGCAACTGGCGTCATTTAAACCAAATCACAGCTCATCCAATGTGGCTGGAGTGGACTTTGCATGCACAGAATGAGTAAATCTGTCGACCTGTTGACCAGGACAGTGAGATCCCTGACACCACAGAGAAGACTAGTTAATATGGAAAACCCGGGAAGCACTACTAATGAGAGAGGAAGTGCGGCGGTGTGATTGGTCCACACAGTCCGAGCAGTTCCGCCGCCCCGGGCCGGCGATACACTTTCACCCCCCCGCACTAACTCCATCGTCCTAAGGCCAAGGACTGTTGCTGAAACTGCTGTCTAGACACGGCTCGGCCCGTAAACCCAGAGGCTGGGTGTGAAAGAGGTAGGCTCGGATCCTGCACACCAAACTGTGGCTGCAGTCTTTGTCCCAGCATCCACCTCCCACAGTCTGTGAGCATGCTAACGTAGCCCGGCTAATGTTGGGGAGCTGGGATCGATAATCGATAACAACGTGACGATATGATGATTTGCTGATTTTGGGGCGGAAAAAAAGAAGCTTATAGAAGGTTTTAAATGTGTATTCGGAGCGTTAATGCCGTCTCAGACTGCAGCAGGTGAAGAGCAGGAAGAATAAGAAAACATGGACGTTAGCATTAGCTGCCCTGCTAATGAAAAAAGCCTCGCAAAGCTAACATGCTCAGCGTTAGGCAGCTAAGCTAACATAACATTTGCTAATGTTAGCGAGCGGCAGTGCTTATAGAAATGTATTTATTCTGTTAATGCATCCCTTTATGTGTGTATTTAGGAATTCACTGTGAAAGAGACCGTGTTGGTGCGCCGAGGTTAGCTAGCTTTAAAAAACCAAAACAGCAGCTTCGCATCCTCGCATCATCTCGTCAAATTCGACTTTACCGCTAGAAAAGTGCGAGTTTATTGTCATTCCCTGTCACAAAACCACGAGAATTTAGCTAAAGGTTGTGTCATTAGTAGTGTGTATTACAACAGAAATGGTGTCTGTGAGCAGAGGTTTGACAGCAGCATCAGGAATCAATTCTGTCGCCATCTTGGAAGGCAGTTGAGCAGCTTTGTTCCAATAATGGGCCTTAATGAGTTGATTCCTGGTCAATTTAGAACAACCAGCACGAATACTGCAGCCTGTGTGGAATATAGTGCATTTAAAACCATTTGTGTATATTGTTCTAATGGTACACAAGCTGTGGATGGCTGTTTAAGAAGCTCCAGCTGCATAAGAAAAGATTATGTTATAATATACTGTTGTGACTATAGTACACAGTTTTTAAAGCAGCTACAATCACTATTTTACATGTTTAAATCGTTTTTAGTTTTATGGGCAGCATCTTCATTGTTCCAGCTAGCTATTCCCAGCACTGAATGACAGCGTAAGTGACTCGCTGGTGAATAAGCTGGGCAGCTCAGTGTTTTGTTTTCAGAGTTGGAGGAGAATAAATGAGAAATAAAATGTAGACGGAGACAACTGAATGGAAATCATGCTCTGTTTGTGCTTGAGGTGTGACGAGTTCGCTGTCACGTTGGCTGAAGCAACTAAATAAGGTGATATTATGTGTTGGGAGTTCGTTAATTGTACGTTTTTGCAGGTTCAAATGTCTACTAACAATATTTGTGGTGAGAGTGGAACAAGTGAGTGCATGCAATGTGAAGGTTGTTGTGATAAATCCATTGAGAATTCCCACCCAGCACCACTTTGCCTTTTCTTGTCTTTCAGCCCATTGTTTTGGTTTTACGATCCACAGAGTTGAACTCTTTTCAGCCTAATTTCCAGCAGCCAGAGGCAACTGTTCAGGGGTAAAGTGCTGATACACCTGGAATAGTTACCAGCAAGTAGACGAAAGTTGTGACTAGTTGCTGGTGGATGAGGTGGAGAATTTAGTCAGCGATCAAGGAGGGTAAATGTTGGACTTTTTTAATCAGATGACCAGAAGCAAGTGTCCAGATTAATGCTAATAATATTCTGTGTCTGGCAAGATATAATTACGAGCTTGTTAGTCACAACGTTTTGATCAGTGCACAGAAATTTAGAGGTTTTCTGTTTTTGCTTTTTTTTGTTTAGCTCTGATTTTTTTGTCTGATTCAATTTGTTGAATTCCCAGAGCAGAGGTGAGCCTTCCTGTATTGTGTAGCTGAACGGTGTCCAGCCAGTGTTGTGTCAAACTGTATTTACACCAATGCTGTAACATGATATTGGCGTCTGCTGCCTGGCAGACGACGCTGTCTGCTCCATTTTTGGGGGTATATAGATCAGTAAGGAGGAATTTATGTCCTCAATCACAGAAAAATGCACATCCAAGACAACCGATACGTCTGACAGGTTAGACATGGATTGCTTTTTGTGGGTATTTAACATTTGCACCTAAATATAAGTGATCAGCTCAAATAGAACATCTGCTGCCAAGTACAAAAAAAAAGTAGATTGTGGTGCACCACATCCAGTGCTGCTAACCTAATTACTGGACCAGATGGAGAAAATGGGTAACTTGTAAGAGGAAAGATTTTACACGGCCGCAGCTTCTCCCTTTAAAACGCTCCAACCAGAAAAGCACTGATCAGATTTCACATTTCGGTGCCAGACTTAGTTTATCACTGTGGAAGTGGATGCTGCTGACTAGCTGTTTGTCAGGGTGGATTTAACCGTAAGCAGGTTGTTGTTATTTCAGTGCAGATGCAGAAAATGCATCCTTCGCTGTCACGCCTTAATCTAATTTCTCCCAGTAATCTGGCTTCCGCGTCCATGTGAGTGTAGTCGTAAGTCGTAGCGGTGGCTCGTGTGTTCAGCAGAACTGCCAGTTAAGATTTACAACGCTGAAGGGCAGCTCATATTTTGGCTTCGTTAGAAACACCTCGAGTGCAGGTGATATACTGCAGCATCCTGAAACCAACACGGCTACATTTGTTGATGTTCCAGCTGTGATGAGTCAGAATGTCTTCTTTCACCAAGATGTTTTCAGATATTTCCACTCTCAGATCATGTCCCGCTCTCTTTTTTTCATTTTATCTTCTTGTCATGTGTTGATCTTAAGCTACACTACTGAAGCTATAAATGTTGTGGAAGATTTTATGTCTTAATATGTTTTACCACAAAACTACTGTCTCATTAACGAGTTGAACAAATAAATCAGCATTCCCAGTCAGCTTGACTTTCCAGTTTAGATGCCATAGAATTAATTTTGTGATAGGAATACGAGGTTTGCAGCATGTGTTTGATCATTGTTTATGGTAGAAGTGTCAAATTATTGTAATATTGGAGGTTTTTTTTTTGTAAAAGCTGCCTGTGTTTCAGGTGCACAATGTCTGAACTTTTTATGGAGTGTGTGGAGGAGGAGCTGGAGCCGTGGCAGAAACAAGTTCCTGAAGTTCATTTGATAGATGACGACGACGACGAGCCCATCTTTGTCGGAGTGCTCTGTATGTTGAAACTCCTTTTTAAACACATTAACATGAAGCATTTAAACACAAAGGCTTGTTTGATTTTGTGATATTGAACATCCAGAAGCACAAATCATCGCTTAGTCATGACAGTATAGTTCTTAATCACCCTCTAATGTTTAACATGTTGCGTGTTTTAAGTGTTCAGACATGTACAGACAAGGGTTTTGTTCAGTTGCTTATTTTGGCCCCTTTTTTTCAATGTTCTTACAGCTAATAACCAAAAGGATGGGAAGCCTAACCCTCCAGCTCCTCAGAGGACCACTGCTGGTAAAACAGAAACTAAACGCTCCACTCTGCAGCCTGCCGTGGGCCCTTCACCGATAGTGCTGCCGCTGAGCATACCTGGAAATGCAGTCAATACTGCACCACCCACTCTGACAACAGTCACTCCACAGCCTGTCATCGTCAATAACCAGGTATAATTGGTGTTAGTGTTTTAATATGTATTATAATGCTCATATGCAATAAGAACAAACCCCCCTAATGTGGATTTGTTCTTTTTTTTCAGGGCTTTATTGTCACTTCTCCGCAGTTAGCGAACAACAGTGAATTTATTGCCTCTCTTGGGACCCAGTATCCTCCTGGGACATCATTTACAATCGTACCAGGTAGACCTGAGTCTAATATACTTCTGAGTAGCGATGTGGCAACAACACCACCGTTAATGGTTTAAAATCAAACATCATGTTAATATTTCAAATCTGGTAGCATCATAAGTAATCCAGCATCAGTAGCTACTGGGTTGATACTCCAACATAAGAACAACACATACTGTACAGTTATTGCTTCAGACTCTCTAAGCACCACGTTTTAAGTGTAACTCATTTACCAAGACAGGGACAAAAACCCCGTAAACAATAATTTAACTGATAGCATTTCCAAACCTGTAAATATTGCAATAAGTTGATTATCATGAATCCTCCTGCCCATGATGATGTAGTGAAAATCTGAGAGCCCTGTTTCTAAATCTCCTTTGTGCTCTCAGTCATGTTTATTTGCTAATGCCAGTCCTGTGTCCTCCGTCTTTCAGCTGGTCAGCAGTCGCTTTTTCAGCAGGTCACTCCAGGCACGGTGATACCTGGTGCCGTCCACAGGCCTCAGGTGCAGCAAATCAGCAACAACGTTGTGACTTTGACAAACGTCCAGAGTCCTGCTGTGTATTCAGCACAGCCGGGTCAGCTGCAGCCCAACCGGCCCACCTCTCAATCTCTTCAGACCTTTTCTTTGCCTGTGAAGGACAACAGCAATAACAGAGGTCATTTTCATCATGTGTTGTTTTATCTTCACTGTATTCTATCCGCTGGCGGTCACTGAAATGTCTTGTGTTTGAATTTATGCAGATCAAAGTTTAGTCAAACGAGGACTGACTCCGCAGGAAATGGACAGCGCAGCAAAAAGACCTAAGATGGACTTGGGTGAGTTTGTAACAGTAGAGAAAATCCTATTGATAACATTTAGTAATCTGGTTATGCTAAACAAACCTTAATCTTAGCTCTTGTTGTGTCTTTACATCTTGTTAATTGTCACGTTTAATTGGTTTTCAGTATCACCAGCAAAAGTAATTGTCAGAGTGGAAAATGGCATCGTAAAGAAAAAGTGTCCTAACTGTCAAGAAGAGGTCATGTCAGAGGAGGACCTGAAACATCATCTGATGGTGAGTGAAGCTCTGGTGAAATCGTAGCTACTAGTTGAATTTGACATAAGAAACTTGACAGATCCACCAAAAGAAGATTGTTTGGATTGAAACAAAGACCAAATGGTTTGTTCCATGATGTTTACTGGCTGCCATCTTTTTCTGAGCAGCAGCTTTATTTCGCTGTTCCCAACGAGGAGCGTTTGTTGTCACCTAGACAAAAACTGCTCTACCCGGCGTCTATGTTCAGAGAGGTCTGCCTCTTGGTGAGGTCGATCTGAGCTCTGAACTTTTCAGAAAGACGCTGACATCATCGCTGTCGCTTCCTTCAAAGCAACTGATCTTACTGGCAGGACTTGGCACCACAGTAACCGAGAAAATGAGGAGAAGCTTTTTGTAGACACGTCTCTCTATCCTGAGCTGTATGAAATGCCAGATAGAAATGATCACAAGGAGCAATGCTAGCCCGTCATGCAGTTAAAGTGGGATACGGTGTTGTCATAGAAACAAAACACATGGGAATGCTGTTTTGAGAAAGTGTTCCTCAGTGCCCTGCCAGAGACAAATGCTGTATGAACAGACGTACTTGCTTGACAGATATGAGTGATAGACATTGTTTTGTTGCTGTATACAAAGCCCATAATGAAAAGAACTTCATTTTGGTATGTTAACATCTTTGTTTTAATAAATAACCCTTTGAACTGGAATTGCCCCATTTATAAGTAAAATGTGTCTTTATTTCAGAGCTGCAGTGCAAATGTGGGAAGCACATCTCCATCAGCGCAAAACATTAACGCGAACAAGCGCATCATGCTGGTGTCGGATTTCTACTACGGCCGCTTCGAGGGAGACACGCACAAGAAAGAGGCACAGAAGACCAACACCACCTTCAAGTGCCAAAGCTGCTTAAAAGTTCTGAAGAACAATATCAGGTGTGATCATACGTTTTATTGCTTCTATGAGTTGCACTGACACTGAGGTGAAAGTGTTAAAAGCAGCAGCATTAAGTTGTTTAATGTCATTAAGAAATCTACGAGGCAAGGCAGGTTTATTTGTAAAGCACCATTCATACCCGAGGTCATTCAAAGTGCTTCACACAGAAGTACAAGAAGACAGATAAAATCAGTCCACAGAACATAAACACAATTATAATTAATTACATTAAAAACAAAGAGGCAGATAAAATCAAGCCATAAATACAGTCGTGACTCGATAATCCGACACTAAATGTAAAACCTTCTTTCATGTCGGATAGCAAGGCTGTCGGATTGTCAAGACGGAGGTCGAGACACAAGGAGGGATGATGCTTCAAATCAAATCTAATTTTTTTTGTATAGCACTTTTCATACACTTACGGCAACACAAAGTGCTTTACAGAATTAACAAAAAAAAAAAAATGATGTGAATTTGTTGCTTCAAATTCAACCTGCAACCTACGTTTTTCTTTAAACCCACTGACGTGAGGAAATAATTTTCCGTCACTTGAGTTTTCTGTCAGAAACTTTCTGCATACAGTAATGAACGTGTTCTCAAAAGGCAGACTGGGACCGCTAAAAAGAAATCTATCCGGTGCCAATAAAGAAAAGGCCGGACATGTTCCTCTGCTCTAACTGCAGCTTTCCTCTCAGATGGATGATGGTATCAGACCGTTTTCCCTCATGGGCCTAAAGATGAAAAATGACTGCTAGTTTAGGTGGCGTAAGAACTGCTCCTTTGATTAAATAACTTTGCTTCAGAGCATTGCAAAAAAAAAAAAGCTTCTGTAAGCTGCTTTTAATGGGGAAACACATTTGTACCGCGGGCGCACTCTCACAGTCGAGGTCATAGTTCATCCACACAAAAATTTCTATTAGGGGAGCTGAGGTAGCAGAATGTACCGGCTGAAAAATGGGCCGTGCCTCGTCAGGGCAGCGGTGGCAGGTAGCTGTGGAGGTGCTCGCCGCAGCCGCAGGGCACTACATCATTAGGCAAAACAAAAATCTGTGTGTAATTGCTGATATTATAACGGCTATTATACATGCTTAGAGAGTGAGGAGCGAGGAGAATACTTCATTTATCTTTAGCACCTTTGGGACCTGGACCATAACCACTGCATGTACACTGGCCATGAATATTACATTTGTTTCCCCCCACTGCTTGATACTGATCTAGTTTTAATGCATCTATTTTCTCTTTTTTTAAAAAATGGAAATGCTCCTCAAATTACTGCATATAAGTCATGTGATTTTTAATCATTTATGTTTTTATCTATTAATTTTTGCTGAATTCGGTTCACCCTGAGCGTTGTGTGCGCTTGCTAAATGCACACATTGTTTTAATTGGTGGATAGAATGGGGCTTTATGGTAACCACACATAAAATATGGAAATATAGGTGATATTTGAAAATCTTTTTCTCAACTGGTTCATTTCTAATGGATGATACAGGGGAGAATTAACTCAACGCATCACGCTGTTTACCAGCTATGAGTCTGTGCTACCTTCTTTGATAGAAGTCTTTGCATTTTTTCTTGTCATTTCTGACCATTTGATTCTGCTGGAAAAGCTCTAAAAATAACTAGTAATTGATTGTAAAAGTAATGTTCTTTAACTCATTCATCTCCATTATTCCGTCTTGTGTTAATAAAACCAATATGACATTTGTTTAGCGTTGTGTACAGAAAAATGGCTTTTTATAAATGAATCATCATTTGATCTGCATGCAGGAGTTTTGCCTATTATCTATTTTATCTCTTTATTTTGGGTCCGTTCTGGTTTGGACAGAAATACTTAATTAAAATTTCTTATGTAATTTAATCTTTTCTCCCTTTTCCTACTTTACTAATTGCGAAGTTGCCAATAGTTTCCATTTTAAGGAGATTTCAGTTCCTCTTGTTACAGAAATATATAAGAGTTTGTTGGGTATCCTTGCAGGTAAAAGCTGGCTACCCTGGTGAAACGGTTGCCTGACGTTTGTGTCTGCCTCCCTTACAGGTTCATGAACCATATGAAGCACCACCTGGAGCTGGAGAAGCAGAACAGCGAGAGCTGGGAAAGCCACACCACCTGCCAGCACTGCTACCGACAGTACATGACTCCGTTCCAGCTGCAGTGCCACATCGAGAGCGCTCACAGCCCCATCGAATCCTCAAGTATAACATGATGATCTGTGCAGCTCCGTCTGGCGTGACCGTTCATGGCCATGTGTAATTTTCTTCTCTTTCCCTTTTCAGCCAATTGTAAGATTTGTGAGCTGGCGTTTGAGTCAGAGCAGGTGCTCCTGGAACACATGAAGGGGAACCACAAACCCGGGGAAATGCCTTACGTCTGCCAGGTCCGTCACTCGTCAGCGAGTCATGATTTAATGTTTCAAGTGAAGCGATCACTGATCATAAATGTGTGTTTTTACTGATTCCACAGGTGTGCAATTACAGGTCGTCTTTCTTCTCAGATGTGGAGACACATTTCCGAAGTGTCCATGAAAACACGAAAGACCTGCTCTGTCCGTTCTGTCTCAAAGTTCTCAGAACCAGTCATATATACATGCAGCACTACATGAAACATCAGGTATGAGGCTGGTTCCACACACGCACTTGAATGTCCCATTTCAAAGCTACATTTGGACCTGGAGTCGTTACTGATACAGAGGAAACGTCTTTTAAACGGTCATTTCCTAAGATTCCTAAACAGCATTTACGAGTTTGAACTCACTTTACTGTTAACTCCACGTTGGGATTGATTTGGCTGTCTGCCGAGCACCTTACTGTAATACATAAAAGGGCGACAATAGAACCGGCTTCTCCTCACCGACCCTAAAGGAGCAATAAATATGGTAGAGTTGGAACCAAACGTAATTAATTGCCGCTCTATTAATAGCAATGAAAGTAGTTTCTTTCAAACTTGTTATGGTCTTTCAGTGAATCCAAATGAAACATCTCCGCAATTAGCCTCTGCTCACAGCAGGAATTAATCATGGTTTTGTGTTTCGGCGCTGTGATGTTTTTTCTATTTCAGAAAAAAGGGATCCATCGCTGTGGAAAGTGCAGACTGAATTTCCTCACCTACAAGGAAAAAGTGGAGCACAGGGCTCACGTCCACAAGACCTTTAGGAAACCTAAAGCCCTGGAGGGTCTTCCTCCGGGTACCAAGGTCTGACCCAGTCATAGCAACACCAGTGCAACACTGATCTTTGACCTTTTATGTGATGTTGTATTCACATTCAGTGTCAGATTATTTAGTGCATCCTGTGTTCTCGTTGCAGGTGACCATCCGGGCCTCCCTCACAGGAAAGACGCCTGTATTGCCAGCCTCCCCCGATCGATCAGGCTTTATCGTCACTCCGGAAGCAGCAAGTTTCAACGACTTCAAATCCAAACCTCCAGTCACTGTGTCCAAGTCTAAATCCGCCGTCTCTGGAGCGGGAAAAGCCAAGACGGCTCAGAGCAAGAAGCAAGACGCTCGAACTTCCAAGCACAACCTGTCACTGAGGAACCTCAGGTGGTTAACGGAGCTTTTTTCACACAGTGCAGTGACCAGTCAGGCTGATCAGCAGCTTCAATCAGCAATGGTCGAATAATATCATAGGTCTGGGGTATTTTTTTTAGCTTGGTAACTGCTTTTTGTTGCCCAATTTTGAAATCATGAAAAGAAAACAGTCTAAAACTGCCTCACGTGAGTCGGCAGCATCAGTCGGTCTGAAAATGTGTAGAGTTGGAAGTGAGCTGACCAGACCTCTGTACACAGTAATACCAGTATTCTTGGATGGAGAAGCGCTTAATGAACTGACAGAAGGTCACCAAGAAGTTTAACGTTGAGACCCGATTACTGTATGAACGAATTAAATGTTTACGCTTTCTAATAATTTATTTTGACGACAAGACGTGCTCTTGTTTCCTGCGTCTATAACCCCAGACGAGTTCAGATCTGAGTCCTCTGAATCATTCTGACTCCCACCACAGCCACTAACATGGAGCCCCACCTCCTGGGTTCTCATGACAGGGTGGGAGTAAATTAATGGACGTTATTAAAGCCCAGCAATACACAAAGCAGCTAATTGTGTTTTCAATTAATTTTCCGGACACTCTCCATTAGGCTGGCTAAATATAATATGGTGGAGAGCAGAGTTTCTTTCTTTAAAAAATTAATGAGTGTGATATTTGGCTAATTGGGCTCAGTAATCAAAAACAATACGCTGCCTTTAGACACATGATATGGCCTTTTAAACAGATCAGACGTAGTATAATGTAGTGGTGTTATAGAAGAGTTCAGACCAGGAGAATAAAATTAGGAGCCCGCAGACAATTAAAACAGGTAATTAGTTAGAGGTTTGTGCATCTGCTGTAATGAACCAAATAATTCATCCTTTGTTTTTATCTTCAAATCTGACTGGACTCATGAAGAGAAATTATTTCCAGTGTTTAAACATCAGCCGTAACCGTGTGATCGCATTTTGTGTTTTCAGCATCAGCGGAGGACGTTTCACGTGCATCGAGTGCAACACACAGGTGGACCACTTCTTTTCTCATTTCCCGATGGTTTCAAACTGCGGTGCGTGCAAATATCGGACGAGCTGCAAAGTTGCCATTGGGAACCATATGATACGGTGAGTAGACGCCTGAGTTGAATGAAGATTTGAATTGATTTTAGGTCTGCTGTTTGTGTTGACGAAGCTCTCTTTGCCCGTTCATCAGATTTCACAGCACCATCACCAAAAACAGATTTTTGAAAATGGATCACAAGAAAAATTCAGCAGCGTTAAAGTAGGTGCACTTCATAATTTTGCACTTCAGTAAATTCCGAGTTGCACCAGATCATGAGGAGAATCTTGTTCTTCTTCTTTCAGACTGACCCTGGTCTGTCTCAACTGTGACCTCCTCGTGGACGCGTCAGGCGGTGACCTGATGACCAAACATTTAAGTGATCGACCAAATCACACTTGCAAAGTCATCCAGGAGAAAGGTGCGTATGTTTCCTGTAGCGCCACCTCAGTCATGGTTAGCATGTAGTGTCACAAGTTTATTGAAAAAGGTTGTTTGTTGTTTTTAACCCAGCAGATATCAAAGCCAAAGATCGAGTGTGAGTAGAATTTTTGACTCACGTTACATGTTGTTGATCTTCTCTTGTATGAAATGCATTGAAGACCAAAAAGACATTTATGCGATTTTTAAAGGGGTACTCTTGTGAGTTCATAGTTCTATAAAGTCAAGAAAAGTATCACAGCACCTGGAGATAAACTGACAAAGACCACAGACACTAAATCTGACAACTTTCCATGATTCAACTCAATCGTAAAGTCAGCATTTATTTCTGAACTCTTAAGCACTTTTTAGACACTGTGTACAAAACACTGGTGCCTTCATCAAATTTGTTAAAGTGACGATGTTCTGATATTTAGATATCCGACATGGGCCACTTATCGTTATTGTTCCTCGGGGCGTTATTCAGACATAACGACCACAGTGACGGAGACAACACTGGACAATCTGGTAACACACCTAAAGGCAGCATTGACTTCTGCTGTACTGAAAGTGATTTAGAAATGTTACTAGATCCAACCTATTAAGACTACCATCGGATATTTACAGAAACGTAACCAGGGTGCTCATACAGCATGAAGATGTTCAGATGCCATCAGATTAATGGGAAGGAGGACGTGTCTGACAGGGGCTTCATATTCATTGAATTACTTCACAGAATGTGTTCACATAAATAAAGAAGGCCAGATATAAAGACTGAGATACTTGCTTTGGATAACTGTTTTCAGTTTATGAACATCAGTCTTCTCAGATGGTACGTTAGAAATCTTCCTGTTTCAGTTGTTAGCAGTTTACGTTGTTTCCTGATGACTTTTATTTTGTGTCTGCAGCATTTTGACTGAATATTTTTTCAGAATCCTTTAATGTCATTATACCAAAAAAAAGTACAACGAAATTGGGTGCAATCCCATTCAGTGCAAAGAACAACGATAAATTAGCATTAAACTGTGTAAGATAAAAACAAGACACCAAGACAAACAAGATGTTTGTAGAGCCTATAGGTGTATATAAAAAATTCATGACAGTAGGTATAAAATGGATATAAAAATGTGAGTATTTACAATAGCAGCTGACTGTCATCAATCAAAGAACTCGTATAAACCGTTCTAGTTCACAGAAACACTAATAACATAATAAATAAATAGAAAATAAAGAGGTCATTGCGTATTTCCCATCATGCACTGAGGCCTCGCACCTGATCTCACTGCCGATGATAAAGTCGCAAACTGGGACCAAATGGGACGTAAACTCTGATCTATATGCACCGATTCTGAAGTAGACATAATGACATCACTGTGCCAGCATTTGGTCATTTTGCTCAGACGTGACTTTATACTTGCACAACTGTTCTTATTGGCTCCCTGTGAACACTGAGCCCTCGTGTGTGAAGTAGGCGGAGTGCCCCTTTAAGATGCCATAACAATATGGTCCGTATAATTTGGCCTCTGTTCCACTTGTACTAACCACACACTAGCTCTTTACTAATGTCTGTGACTTGTTTCAAATATTGAACTCTGTTCAATACTTGGTCATATTTTTTGGTAATAGTTTAGAAGAACGTTCTGGCTGCATGTTCATCTGAAGTGTGTCGGTGTTATTTCACCCTCTTCCTTTCATCCAGGCAACTCCTCATGCGGCAGCCGGCAAAAGTCCAAGTGTACTTCTTGACGCCAGCATCCGGCCAAAGTCCAAAGGAAACGAACTTGAAACAAGCTGGAAGCGGAACTGTTGAGCAGCCAGAACCCGAGCCGGGTGATCAGGAAAAAGGTCCCACAGAAACCACTGAAGGTTCCCCTAAAGGAGAAGCGAAGCAGCTGCAGCCGGATTTATCGTCTCCCTGCGCATCAGAAAGCGGCGCAGGCGTCTGCGATGAGGCGGTGGGCAACTCAGAGAACCCAGACGTCGGAGATCAGCTCCCCGACTCTGTGACTGTGACCGAGGAACAACAACCTGAGCAAGACTGAACGTGTACGTCAGCTAAACATCAGCGCACATGACACACGGGACTGAAACGGATCGATTTAAAAACAACCTCGGCAGAGTTTTTTTTTTTCTTTTTTTAACAAATATCAAACTTCTGATGTTGCTTTGGCTGTTAATAATCCCGTCCACGTTCATGTGTTGGGCACGTCAGTTTTAACAACTGGAGAAAATATTTTATCTGATTTTTGTTTGCTCCTTTGTGAAACTCGCGTTGCCTCACTGTATGTAGAAAAAACAACTCTGACAGTTATGAATACAAAAAAATAAAAACTGAAGTCTTCTTACTTGCCCTGTAAACATTAGGGATAAAGAGCGTGCAGTCGCAGAATTATTCTGCACCTTGACTAATTCCAGACTTTCAGTTTTACACTTAAATGGTTCATTTTGTACTTCTTAAAAGTGTTCATATAAAGGCTCGTTAACACCTAAAGTGGGTGACATTATCCTGCAGAAGGGTGTTAATTGGCTGTGTTCTCCATCTCTGATGTCTGTGAGGTGATTTTTTTTTTACGTTTTTTGCTCTACACAGAAATTTCTCAACGACTTTGACTGTAAAACCACATTCTCCACGAATCCTGCTCAGTGGCACAGAATGTACATGCTCCAATTACGCATGTGGTCCCCCCTGACAGTATGTATACTGACATTGTGTAATTTTATCTTTGATTGTTTCAGCATTAGCGCCCCCATTTTCAACATTTTGCACTGTTACTTTGATTCAAGCTGTTCTAGATGGTTTGGGCTTTTAAGTGAACAACAGATTTTTTAACTTTTTTTTTTTATTATTTGTAGATTGCTGTTATTGTATAGCGTTTTATTTTTTGATGTGATCTCTAAGCTGCTCCCTTTTTTTTTTTTTAAATAAATAAAAAAAAAATCTGGTGTTATACCAAAAAAACAAAAAACGTCGTCACTGAAATGTTTACATAGTTTACAGACAATTCCTGATTGTGGCAGAATAAGTGATGTAGCACCTTTTATCTTCCATTATCACCTGCTGGTTTCCAACATCCCACAATACTGTTATATTAACACTCAAACGGCTGCTTTAAATCAATGAGAAATACAGTAGTACATGTGTAGAAAATATCAAACTTTATTCTCCAAAGGAATGTCATCTTTGTGAAACGTGTGACTTAGAGAGGGAATTAGGTGAAGAGTGGTCTAACGCTGAGCCAATGTAGACTTTGTCGTTCTGTATTTAAAGCCCCAGCTTGTGAGAGTAATGTGCTACCTCCGGCGTAGTTACTCAGTATGGTACTTCACTTGGCTTAAACCCCGTTAACCAACCATTACGGCCCCAAATGCTGGTTGACTAAGTTGCCTTTTTATTTCTCATTTACTGGAAAAAAAAGACAAATTCCCTGTAGCTGTGGGAAGATTTTATACTATGCCATTTTTATTTCATTTTATGTGGCTTAATATGTTGAAAGTAACTGGTCATTTCATAGGTGTTTTTTTTTTTAAATTTTTAAAAAGGGTTTTCACTTGTAAATACAATAAAGCTGTAGGGCAAGTCTGCAAATGTATATATGTCTATGATGGCACTATAAATGTAACCCACCGAACCTGTTTTGAATGCATTCCATGGAGATCTACAAACTGGGTCTAGAACAGCGTTTTCTTGTTGTTGGTTATGTAAATAAATCTTTACTACAAGACTCTGGGTGTTATCTTTATGTTATTTTTGCTCTCTATAGCGGTCAGACCAGATCCTGTAGGTAAAGTTATCACTAAGGCACATCTGGCATCTGACATCAGCCGTCACGTTTGGGAGGAACATAAACAAGTATGGCAAAAATAATAGGAATAACAACAAGGAAAAGCAATGGGTGCTGTGGGACCCTATTGGAAGGCTGTGAATGTACTATTTTACTTATTTAACCAGGTGAGTCCCATTGAGACTGACATCTCTTTTGCAAGAGTGCAGCAGCAAGGATTGCAACAATACAACACAAAACGTAAATAATATAACCTCAGGCATAAATACATGAAATACATACAGCCCATGAAAACTCATTTAAAGCACCTACAGACTGTAACAAACATTTAAAATCTCCCAAGGAAACAAGGTCAGACAATCTGAGCGTTTTCTGGAGCAGATTCCAGGACTAAGGGGCATTGTGATAGAATGCAGTGAACCCAAATGCAGTGAAGGCACAAGGGACCGAGAACAATAAGAAGTCCTGGGAGCGCAGGCTGTAGCCACTAGTACAGTGAATGAGGAGGAGGTTTAAATAGCCAGGGAGAAGCCCTAATGCAGATAAAAATATGCCAGTGGAGCCATCTGCGGTAACAAAGTGATGTCAGACCAGACCCTTCCTATAGATGACAGTGATGGGATTTGGCGTTCAGAATGAAATACAAGGCACCATTGATGGACAGTGTCTAACGCCTTAAGGGATGCAGCAGGGGCATGCATATAAAGAACATCACCATGATCACTTACAGGGAGAAAGGTGGTCATGACAAGTCTCCTTATGGTACACTAAAATACCTGGCTTCCCATCCCATACCGCATTAAATTCAAAATCCTCCTACTCTCCCATAAAGTGCTCCATAACCAGGCTCCCTCTAACCTCAAAGACATGCTCCACCCCTACACCCCTTCATGTACTCTCTGCTCTGCTAATGCCAACCTCCTGATCATTCCCAGGACTGAGCCCGAACCTAGGGCAGGATAGGACCTTCTCCGTCGCAGCTTATTAATTTGTTCTAGAAAACTGCAGCTCTACAACAGAATGGACATCATGAAACAACAAAGCAGCCTCTATATTGGAAATGATCAACTTTTTATACAGTTCTCATGGTGTGGCATTCAGAAACACGGACAACAGGAAGGTTGGATGTAGAGGGAACCAATCCTGGACGAGGTTTGCATGTACTAACATGCATACAGACAAAAATAAAACACTATGTTTAGTCACCTACAAATACAGAAGGAGGGAAGTCTTAAGGGCTGCATAGGTTATAGTGTATTTTTGTTTTGTTCTTTGCTTGTCCTTTTGCCTCTTCTCCCACAAGGGCACGTGTAATGTGAGATTTTATGTTTAGATTGTTATTTTTCACAATTTCTGTCCTACAACAAATCAATTAATTAACCTAATTCAGGACTTTTATGGTCTTTTGGACCCCAGGCTATTTGGTTTAGGTGACAGGTATTGTTTTTTTTATTTCTGAAGATTATTATTTTTTTAAATATAAAAAGAGGGACATTTGTCATGCACTTGGAACCAAAAATATATCAGCTTATCAGAAAATGTATTTAATATAGTATAAAAGTCTATAATGAATACCAACAAATATCCATCCATTGTCTATCCATCCATCCATCATCTATACACCGCTTAATCCTCACTAGGGTCGTGGAGGGCTGGAGTCTATCCCAGCTGACTCAGGGTAAAGGCAGAGGACACCCTGGACAGGTCGCCAGTCTAACCAACAAATATTTTGCATGTATTCTTTCTTGGGATCCAGTGGACCCCGAAAGATCTTCTACATCTGGCAACATGAAAGTCCTGAATAGGGTTAAGTATTTTGTTCATCCATTTTCTTCCACTAAACTGGGGTCAGGGGCAAGATATTCCAGGTTTCCTCTCCATCGTAACACTTTCCAGCTCCTTTTGGAGGATCCCCTGGCGTTCTCAGGTCAGATGCAACATGTAATCCCTCCAGCAAGTTCTGGGTCTAACCAGGGGCCTTCTCCCAAATGGAAGTGCCCAGAAACCTCCAAAGCAAGGTGCCCAGGGGACAAGCTAATGAGATGTCCAAATTACCTCAGCTGGCTCCCTTCGAGACTGGCAACCTGTCCACGTGTCCCCTGCCTTTGCCCTGAGTCAGCTGGGATAGACTCCAGCCCCCCCCCCGCGACCCTAGTGAGGATTAAGCGGTGTATAGATAATGGATGGATGGATGGCTCCCTTTGACGCGAAGAAGCAATCAACCAGTTTCCAGCAGACAACCACGGCCTCAGACTTGTAGGTGCAGATTCTCATCATAGCCTCTTCACACTCTACTGATCCGCTCCAGAGCACACTGAAGGTCATGACCTGATAAAGCCAATAGAACCACATCATCTGCAAAAAGCAAAAAGCAAAAATGCGACTCTAAAGTTCCCAAACCTGATGTTCTCCTCACCTCAGCAGTGCCTCAAGATCCTGTCCATGAGCATCACAAACAGGATCGGACAGGTGCAAAGCATGTGCGACCTGACAATACAAACACAGCTCTCAGTTTGGTTGTACGAGGCCTGAATGGCTAATAGCAACGATTCCCAAAGTTCCTGAGGCAGACACAAATGTTGTAGGTCTTC